TGCGGCCCGTTGACGACCGCCCTAATCAACTGCCCGGATGACGAGGGTATGTCGCAGGCCACGCCCACCAGCTGCACCGGACGATTCTGTTGCTACACACCCGGGGAGGCGTTAGAGGGGGGGCGAATATAATAGTACATGTGAAACGGGAAAAACGGCGAACACAACACCATACATTTGTGGATGGGGGCGCCAATGCCGGGTGGGGTTAGTGTGGCGAATGACGGCCTTACTGCTTTATCACTTTCTTATGTGAATGAACGTGATACAAGTTCCGTAATTGCGGGCCTGACTATATCCCACGAGGAAAAAATTCTACCAATCAAGGTAATCGGCGACCGTATCTAGAAGTCTAAAATAACACGATATCAGATCCTAGATCTCTCGTGAAGGCTTCCCAACAAGCACGACCGTAAAGCTGTGATTGTCGGAGATGGAAAACGAGGACGTGAAAAAGACTCTTAGGCTGCTGAAAACTTACCTTGAAATCGGCAGGAAAGCGTTTATTCTGAAACCCCAGGCATTAGGTTGAAAGCCCCTACAAACCGACTCAGCTATAGTACTATCTAAGTATTAGTAGATTTCCGTAAACAACAACATCAACAACAACAAGTAAAAGAATAAAAGCCTCACATAAGACGAAGCGATTACATAAAACACTATGATGGTGCAGGCGGCGGCTTGTGTGCAGTGTGTATGCGTGCAGAAATGCGTATTTTGAATACGGTACTACTTTGCACAGAAGCCGCACGATCGCGGACAACGCGTCCGCATCTCCGGCCATGTGGCGCAGGCACCACCCTGCGCCCAGCTTGTACATAACGTGTCTCGGTCCACACACAATCGCGCCTGAAACGGAACGTCTGAAGTACGAAATAAAAATAAATATGAAAATAATAGGGTAGAGCATTGAGCTCCAATAATCCGTTTTCGGATTGCGCCAGTCATTCTACCTTCGGTCAGAATCGTACTCGTTTTTGAATGCGATTTGGCCTATACAATGACCAATGAGGCCTGCCGATGGACAAGTTCGCTCGAGTTGTATGGATAGGAGTAATCCAGCCTAGATTTAAGGATTCCTGCAGCTACACTCGCCTGCTTTGAGGATTCGTCTTCTCTCGTGGACGCGGCTAACTCTTTGGTGATTGCTTCCCATCATCAGACAAGTTTGAGACCAAAAGACCGGTTCCAAGAAAATGGAAGGGTTTATATGGTGCAAGCTTGGCGCCGCTGTGCACGGGCTAATCTTCGAAAGTATTCCAACAAAGGTTCGAGGAAAGGCACACTCAAGCTGAGCAAGGCGGTGTTGCGATTGTAGAAGGTGGTGACTCAAGACCTGATTCGCTAGCCCACACAGGTATACGTGCCCAAACCGTGAGCGACCTCGTGCACGCATTTATTGCTTGGAACGCACTCGAGATCACTTCACGATCACATCCTCGTCCAACTAAAAATTTACAAAGATTTCCACCAGCTGCATTCGAGTAACCAGATTTTTTTCAATCCAAACGCTTTTTTTACGCTTTTCAGCTCTTGCAATTGTTCATCGGCACAATACGATTGGGAGTGATGATACCGGGAAGCCATTATGAAACCGGGAAACTCCTGCAGCTATTTATTTCTCTGGGTAATACTGTGGTGCAGGAATCTTATCGACAACAGAAGGTTTAGCGGCCGTTCTGGCATTAGAAAAGTAGGGTTTACGCTTGAAGAGGGAAGTGTGAAGCTAGGGCGCAGGGTACAGTGGTGAATCTTCTCCAGCTAATGCGCCTGGCCATTTTGGTAGGTAGAGAGGAAGGAGTCGTCTTTAAGAAAGAACTTCGAGAGATGGGGTTTCCTTTGACGGCGGAACATGCTGATGGTGTCCTATTGAAACTGTAGATGTTAGCACATTTCGCAGTTACGTATAGGAAAGGTCTGTGAAGGGCAATGTAGTGTAGCCTGCTATGGACAACCCTTCACCAGTATCGCGTCACGAAGTTGTGGGCGGCAAGACTCAATGCTGCTCAGGTGACTCCTCCCAAGCGTTAAGTGACTCCACCTGCCTTGCTGTCTGTAGTCTCGTACTCTTCGCGCTTAAGTCAACTACCAAACAAAGTTCCATTCTTTTCAACCGCGCCCCTACAAATTATAGCACTATTTCTCCTCTACTGCCCCAGTCATCCGGAATCGAGCCAGCTTTTGGCCGACTCTTTTCTAAGTGAACGGAATTTGCTCAGATGTTGTCTCCTGGGGTACTTTGACCACCTAAATACGAATATCACATTCTGGCCCCGCACCCGCGCCACAGGCGCCGAGGATTTGGGGTATTTTGGCGCCGGCGCCTGTGGCGCGAGCGCCAGGAGGTTTCGTGCCGAGCGGATGTGATATTCATGTTCAGGAGGTCAAACTACCCTAGGAGACAAATTTTTAGCCAATTCCGTTCACGGAGAAAAAGTCTGGTCAAAAACTGGCCAGATTTCGGTTGATTGGGGCAGGGGGTAAATGAATGGGTAATGGGTAAATAAATGGGTGATGGGTAATGGGTAAATAGTGCCCAACTTTTTTGACATCTATCTTGAGTGGGCCTTCAATCCAACAAGGGCGTGCTAGCAGTGGTTCTGCTTTGAACGGGCTCACTACAAGATTAATGCTGCGTCGGGTCATAAGATGGCATGATGACTAATTCCATATCTTTCTATACTTGTAGTCGGCAAGCTTTAGGCATCAGCTCACTCGAGCCACCACTGGCAGGATTTGTAGCCAAATAAGTGACAGATCAACTCACGTGAGGGCGGCGTTGGGGAGCTCGAGCAACGGTCGGTATAGCAAGAGTTTGAGAGGCGATCACCTTCACGGCCTCCCAGGTTTCTCGTGCCGTTGGCATGATCTAAGGAGTGTGATACATTTGGAAAAATTGAGAAAAAGTGTTAAAATATCAGGATTACATTAGGTAACAAAGAGAAACAAGCGACTTCACTACCTGATTCTCAGAAAGTAGAAATCCATCCCAAACTTGCTCTTCCGGTCGCAATTCGAAGAGATACGAGTATTTCACATGTGCTTTACCTTTCGCCCAATCTTCTGAACCACCTGATGCCGGATCTGTAAGGACAGCATTACTCAGTTGGTAAGGCTGACGAAGCTTCAAAGAAGCAGGGCAGCGACATTGGGAGAATACCACCAGCAACCATACCGGTGCTGTATATGGTTGCTAGTAAGCTGGGGTTTGTACTCGTTCTGAGAAAATTCATTGATCGCTGATCTTTTCCTTTTCACGCTCGCTCTTTAAATCGTTTGAAGTATCGCACAGGGCACATCGTTGTTGGGGATTCCCCAACGAGGGGTCGTATTGTCGCTGGGAGAGGGAGTTGTGTTAGTTGGTCCAAGAAAAAATTTGTTAATATTGATTTTTCTTGTTTCAGGGATGCTTTGAAGGAGGGGTCGTATTTGTCCCGTTGTTGGGAGGAGGGGGATCGTATTTGGTCGCTAGGGGATGGGGAGTTGTACTTGGTCGAGAAAAAAAAATTTATTTGATAGTTGATTTTGGCGCTGTTTGTCGACGGGGGGCATTTTGTACTATCATTGCTTCCCTAGTTCCGGTTTACAAATCTCACTCTGGTAAAACTTGTGAACCTTGTGAAGCTGGAGCAAGATCGTCTAGCCACCATCCCAAAACGTGTCAACTCGAGAAAAGGCTTCTAGATGGGTCGACTCATCTATCTGCTGAACTGCCCCCCCCCCCCGTGGACAAACTGCGTCCGTTGATTTTTCTTGTTTCAGGGACGCTTTGAAGGGTATTCGTATTTGTTCGTTGTTGGGAAGGGGGAGGGTCGTATGTCTCCTGGCTTTCTGAGAGAGAGAGGTTGTTGATTCCTCCGATTTTTCGTGGGTTTTCCTGTTTCAGTTCATATGTACTGTATACCTTTCCCCCCGCTTGACAGCAAATTGTTTGGAGAAAAGTACGAAAATTTTTGCGGAATTCAAGAAAAAGTGGTAGGAAGTTGGGGAGAACCGAAAAGCTAAGAAATGGTAGAGAGGGGGGGTATTTTTTCTTGTTGTTGCGCCGGTTCACATGTGCTATTCAGTTCTCCCCCCCTCCCCCCCACCCGCTCGACAGCCCGATGACGAGGGAACCAGGGAGGTCCCAACTCCCTAAAAAAAGGGGAGGGGTTGTCGACCGAAATCCCCAACTAATGATGTGCTTTGGTATCGCAGTGGGGTGTGAGTTGCATTCGGTCAGCGGGGGTCGTATCTGGCATTCACGGGAGGATATTATACTGCCACTTTTTCCGATAGTCGAAAACATTATTTGTTTGGTGACACTCTCCCCACCTCCGCTCGACGACAGTTATAGAAAACTGGAAAATCCCCTCGAAGGCTGGGAAAAGTGGTAGAAAGTTGTGAAAAGAGGAAGATGGCGGGTAGGATGAGAAGAAGACGGGGAACGGTTGTACAAGTAGGGATCTTTAGTAGTTGCGCTGACACCACCATTCCAC